TGGCCCCCCTAAAAGGGGCCAACCTACCGCTCAGGCCATTGCTTCAGAGGGTGTAAGCCCCAAGCCTTGGCAGTTTACATGTGGTGTTGGCCTGCAGGTGCATAGAAATCAAGAATTGAGGTTTGGGAGCCTCTGTCTGTATTTCAGAGGATGTTTGGAAATGCCTGGGTGTTCATGCAGAAGTTTGCTGCGGGGGTAGAGCTCTCGTAAAGAACCTCTGCTAGAGCAGTGTGGAAGGAAACTGTTAGGTCAGATCCCCCACACAGAGTCCCCACTGGGGCACTGCCTAGTGGGGCTGTGAGAAGAAGGCCACCAGCCTCCAGACCCCAAAATGGTAGATCCACTGACAGCTCGTACCATGCACCTGGAAAAGCTGCTGGCACTCAATGTCAGCCCATGAAAGCAGCCAGGAGGAAGGCTGTACCCTGCAAAGCTACAGAGGTGGAGCTGCCCAAGGCTGTGGGAACCCACCTCTTGCATCAGCATGACCTGGATTCGAGACATGGTTTCAAAGGAGATCATTTTGGAACTTTAAGGTATAATGACTGCCTCGTTGGATTTTGGACTTGCATAGGGCCTATAAACCCCTTCTTTTGGCCAATTTCTCCCACTTGGAATGGGTGTATTTACTCAATGCCTGTACCCCCATTGTATCTAAGAAGCAACTAACTTGCTTTTGATTTTATAGGCTCATAGGCAGAAGGGACTTGCCTTGTCCCAGATGAGACATTGGACTTGGACTTTTGGGTTAATGCTAGAATGAGCTAAGATTTTGGGGGACTGTTGGAAAGTCATGAATGTGTTTTGAAATGTGAAGACATGAAATTTGGGAGGGTCCAGGGTGGAATTATATGGCTGTATCCCCATTCAAATCTCATCTTGAATTATAGTTCCCATAATCCCCACATGTAGTGGGAGGGACCCAGTGGGAGTTAATTGAATTATGGGAGTGGTTTCCCTCGTGCTGTTCTTGTGATAGTAAGGAAGTTCTCACAAGATCTGATGGTTTTATAAGCGGCTTCCCCCTTCACTTGATTCTCATTCTTCTCCTTCCTGCCATGTGAAAAAGGATGTGTTCACTTCTCCTTCTGCCACGATGGTAAGTTTCCCAAGGCCTCCCCAGACATGCTGAACTGTGAGTCAATTAAACCTCTTTCCTTTATAAATTACCCAGTCTTGGGTATGTCTTTATAGCAGCATTAAAACAGACAAACACATATAATAAATCTTTCTTTTTTTTAGACAGTGTCTTGCTCTGTTGCCAGGCTGGAGTATAGTGGTGTGATTGGCTCACTGCAACCTCCATCTCCTGGGTTCAAGCAATTCTGCCTCAGCCTCCCAAGTAGTTGGGACTCTTAAGTGTGTGCCACCACACCTGGCTAATTTTTGTATTTTTCTTTTAGTAGAGATGAGGTTTCATCATGTTGGCCAGGCTGGTCTTGAACTCCTGACCTGAAGTAATTTGCCCACCTTGGCCTCCTAAAGTGCTGGGATTACAGGCATGAGCCACTGCACTTGGCCAGTAGTTTTTAATAGTATAATCTATAAAGAAGAAATGAAATAGGAATGTGATAGTACTTTGAAATATAGAAAGGTCTTTATATTAAATAATTATTTATTAAATGTATTTATTAAAACTCACAGGGGATGCTCAAGGATGAATGCATGTGTTATTACAAAGGACTCAACAGTCCTTGGAAAATGCACATTTGTATTTGTTAGAATCAACTATCAAGTAACAGAGACCAAATTACCATAGCTTTACACTTTACAAAAAGAAGTCTGGAGATGGACTCTTTCAAGGCAGTCACAGTGGCTCATTGATGTCTTCCAGGTCCTCCATTCTTTGTTTCTTTTTATACTACCATTTTGAGTATGTTGGCTTGTGTTCCTTAGATTTGTACCTCATTATGCTAAGAGATCTGTCATAGCTCCTAGGATCATATCTCACCTAATTACATTATTACATTTAGAGACAGAGGGAAAAAGTTTTTCTTCTTTTGAGGATCTTTTTTTTTTTTTTTCGTTTTTGTTTTTTAAGGAAAGGAAATAGTTTCCAGAAACTGCTTCCACTCAACTCCCTAGCACACTTTCTCTTATGTGTCATTAGCCAGGTCTGGGTTACATGCCCACTTCTGATCGCTGGCAGAGGAAATGGAATGGCAAGTGGGGCCACAGAAGGAGCTAAACTTCTTCAAAAATACAAGATGTCTGCTTGCTACCTGAATATGTTTGGAGTTTAATTAGCAAGTAAGAGGGCAAAATGGATGTTGCATAAACAGTGAACACTGTCTGCTATACCACCTTATCCATTTCACAGGGAAAAAATATCTTCCTTAATTTCCCTCAACTGAGAGCAAACCTGTTTGGAATATTTTGCCTTGAGGAAGCAAAGATGGGGAAGAAGACAGCATCGTATGGAAAGTTACAGTTGGTTTGCCTCTTTCTTTCAAACTTTTGTATATTCTGTTAGTATTCTAATCTAAATACCAGGAGAATTGTGAGCAGAAAAGTAGAGGAGAATGACTAAAAATTAAAGAACAAGACAAGCTTTATTTTTTTGAGAGGAGATATAGACAAGTGAGGGATAGGCATGTAAATAAGTAAATATGTCACTGAAGATGGATGGAACATTACATGTGGCACAGCACAAGGAGAAACAGAGTTCACTGCAGTCATGACAAAGGGGTGAGACAGGGACTCTGGAAAGGTCTGAAAGATTCAAAAGTAAGTTTATCACCCTTTTTAAGAACACAGCACAGTGTGTCAATGGCCATAAGAATAGTCTAATATTCCAGATTGCTAATTGATGATGATGATGATGATGACGACGACGATGTCAATATATAGTGTTTACAACATGTCAGCTGCTGTTCTTAGGACTTTCTCCATGGTCATTTAAGTGTTGTGACCACACTACAAAGTAGGGTCTGTTATCATCCCATTTTTTTCCATGAGGAAACTGACACAGACAGGTGAAGAACTTCCCCAAGCTTAACACAGCTAGTAAATGGCAGATCTATGATTTTTTTTTCTTTTGTTGGTTTCTTACATTTTCCCAATAATGCTATTTATGCACAATGGTTGGCCCTTTCAAATAATCATACTGAAATTTTTAATAGCATCTCTTTCATTACAAATTGATTTGGGAAAATTTGAATATTTATATACTTCACTCTTAAACATAAGCACTTTTTGGAAATCGTTAGCAATTCATCAAGAAGCCATCTTAGCAACAGTTACATAATTCACAATAAATATTAAGGCTGTATAAGGAAGTTGAAAAAACCAAAGAACTCTGAACAAGTAATGTATGTATTTAAGTTGTATTAGAGCAACAATTTGAACAGCAAAGTATTGTGCATATCCATAGCTCTTTAATTATAGCATAAGGAATTTTTTAACATTTAAGGTGATTACACTGAGAGTAGGTAAACAACTGACTTGATCCAATGGAAGTTTATCTATTGGCTTATTTCTTCTGTGCCTCTTCTTTTTTAGAATTCGTTTTCAGTTTGCAGTCTATTAGGGCCATTGTGATTGCATCTTCAGTTAGCATGGAGCAGTGCAGCTTCATGGGAGAAAGGCATAGTTCCTTGTCAATATCTCTGCTTTTGATGATCATGGCTTCTTCAACCACTTTTTCTTAACCTATTCAATGGCTAATAATCTTGGATCAATTTCAGAACCACAGCCAAACATTTAAAACCTGGCAGCCTTAAGTTTTTCCTTTTCATTCACTTGAAACTTAATTTCATTAAATTACTACCAGCTAGAGCCTTCACCAATTTAGCTCGTTTTTGGATATTTTATCAAGGAGCCTTTCATTGTTTGAATTCTCTAAATGATCAACAACCTTCTTGTGATAGAGCAGGGCCTGGTGCAACAGCTCCTGGGTGGGGACATACAGGCTCATGAGCAGCAGGTTCAAAGCTACTGGCCACCAGTGATCTACTCTAGCTGCCATATTGTCAAGGCCAGAACTGGAATTCAACCCAGATATTCTGGCTCCACAGTTCATGTTCTTAACCCCTGGACTATATTATCTCTCTAGTGTCTGTGTTTTACCTAGCGTCTTAGAGTACTGAGGCCATGGCAAGGTTATAAATGGTAAAAATACAGCTAATAAAGAAGACCAATCAAGACTGTGTTATAAGGTTGAGGAGAAAAGGACACATGTGGCAATGATAAATTGCAATGTTTGGGGAAAGAAATGAGAATCAGTTATATTTTGAATGGAAACATGTTGGAGGAGGAGAAATTTGCAAAGTAATAATCAGACATGTTTCAGGTTGACTAATAACCAACTGAGTTCTTAGGTCATCACCTCTGAGAGTAGCATGGGTTGATGGGCACTGCTGTCCTGGCAGTTCTTTTTTTCTGTTTCTCACCATGTCACTGGCCTTTCTGGTGCACCTGGACCATAATAGCACTACTAGGCTGCTCTACCAGAGTACATTGTCTTTCACTGACATAGAAGAAATACCTTCTGATATTCCAGACACCTGCAATGGGATGGAGAATGGGAAGAGGGGCCTTCATTTTGGTGGCATTTCTTGTCTAAGCAGGGATGTGTCACTCAGTGGCAAGCTCTGCCTCTCAGATAATGAATGGGGCACTGGGTCATCCATTCCAAGGTCTTGGGGCAATATCAGGGTACCTCTGAGGCTTAGTTTATAATGTAGCAGTTTCTTCTGTTTGTCATATGGCAAGGCAGAATGGACTTTGAGAATCTTGTTTTTGTGGTCTAGTGGTGAAGTCTTACCTTTGGGACAGCAGCCCAATTGTTCATAATTATTGAAGAAGTAAGTCAGAAGGTAGTTTCATATATGCATCTGCCTAAAGGTCAGATGGAACTGTGGAACTCCATGACAAGCTCACAGAATGTTCCATTCTCCATCTGCACGCAGCCTGATAACTGTATTTTCATAGAATTAGAGACTTATAATATTTAAGGTATTTTAAGGTAATGTATCTCATTCAAATCTCTCTCTTTACAGATGAGGAAACTGAAGCCCAGAGAGATGAAATGATTTTCCATGTTAATACAGAGACAGCTGGTACTGGACAGTATGTTATTTTACCTAGTAGTCAATGCTCTTTCCTATACACCTCCCTGGCTTGGATAAATAACATTGTCTGGAAATGGGAAAGATAATTATAACTGGGACAATAGTAGAGAGAAGAAACTTTAGAAACTCTGACTAGAGCAGAAGGGCAAGCAAACCAGTTTGACTCAGCACTTTGTTTGAAACTGAGGCTTATTGGATGTTAAATTATAGGAGCCTCTATCCCATTGACTGAATTTTTTTTTTGTGGGGGGAGTAATCTTCTCACCCACATGAAAGTAAGGAATTCTTCCATAAGCATTTAAGTACTACCATTAAGGGAACTCAAAGAGGTCATTTACAAAATAGCTCATTTACCCTTCCCACCAAGAATTTGTTGCTTTCATTGAAGGGAGTGGTTTTTTGAGAATTGGCTGGCCCGGCATTAAGCTTAAATCATTTGCTTTCCATCTTACTCCTCCTTTCCCTTGACCTTATCTGGGATTTTACTTTATTAATTAACTTGAAAAGTGCTTTCTATAGGTAGCATGAGTTTTTGGTTAAAAAACAGTTCGAAAAACACCCCCCAAAATGTAGTGAGAAGAAAATCATTTGAATTCCTATCCCCCCCAGGCTTCTAGTTCTCTTTTCTAAAGACAGACTCTCAAACAAGCTTTTTCTGTTTTCCTAAGCTATGTCTAATTAAGTATGTGTTACTATATAGCTGCCTCTTTTTATACACACGGCACCATATTATTCTGTGTCGTACCATTTCTTTTCCACTTAATATTTCTTAAAGATGATTGCCTATCTGTGTAGAGATTTACTTCATTCCATTTACATTTTACAATATTGATAAAATGTATTCTATTTTATCTCTTTCTAGTGCCTGACGTGTGGCCAGATCCCAGAAGATGAGTTTCTCTAAGAAGATCACATGAACCATCCCGAAAGGCCTGTTGCTTCGAAGCTCAGGAATCCAGGGACCCCTTCCTATTATGCGAACTTCCTGGGTGAGTGTTTTATAGTGAAATCATATGTCAGATTGTGATTCTCAGACAACCTTCCCAGTCTGGCTTAAGAGGAGAGGGTTGTCGGGGGAGGTCCTGGGAAAGCCGACTTGCCTTAAGATTGTCTTCTTGGCTGCTGGGTGAAGCTGCACTCCTACTCTGAGATTTCTCTGAGGAGACATTGGGTTTTCCTGGCAGGCAGAGCTTCAGGCTACTCAGCGGAATGTCTATGGTTCTGTAGCTTCAAGAGGAGCCAGGAAGATGAGCTTCCAAGCCAAGGGAAACACTGCTTCAGACTCAAGACCACGATTTGGCAGAGACCACGGGGCCTGCTGAATTTAGGAGAGGACTCATACCCCTTCCTTACTCAAACCACTCTTTCCCACTAAAAGAGGATGGAGGTGACCTAAGAAATCTGCTTTATTCACCAGCACACAGCAGTTGCTTGGGTGAAATGGACTCCGGTCCCATTTTGGTACAATAGGAAAGGCAAGTGCCTCCCTCTCTATCTGGGAAGAAAGGAGAAGGAAGCCAGAGTGGAAATCAGACATCTGAAGTCTCAGCAGCAGTCTTGGTCTGTGCTTAGACAAATAATCTCAAGGCGACCCAAATCCCCCTGTTCGTTCTGAAAACAGACAGTGCCAGAGTGAAACAGAATTAAATTGTTTCTCTTTCATGGCAGCTGAAGTGTAAAAACCATTCTATTCCGACCTTGTGGTCAGAATATCCTGACACCTCATAAATTATCTTAAGGGGTCAGGGCTCAGGGAGGTTTGGGAAGGCTGCGAGTCCACACTGCAGCCAACGGTCTGCGCCGCACGGCAGCAGCGGGAGCGCCTCCTTCCTGGTCTTTCCGATAGGCAGGCACCAATGTGTAGGATGTGGAGGAATGTAGTGTCCTCAGAGCCAGTTTTTATGAATTGGGACAAGCATTTGCCCTCCTTTTATGCTTGTAGGATTTGTATGGCCACAGCAACTACCTTCATGAAGGTTTTTAAGTAAGTGAGAAAAGCACAGTGATAGCTTCCATGTCGGACAGAAATTCTAGGGTGGATTTGTCTTAGCAGAAAAAAAGACAGGGGAGGGATGGAGACAATAGAGACATATACTTACACAATACGAAGAACTAGAGAGAAAAAAATGAATCAAGGAGAAGAGAAAGGAAGGTGGGAAGGGGAAACGTGGGTGACAGAAAAGTTTTCTTGATTCAGATATACACCCCCAAGCACACGCGCGCACACACACACTGTTTCTAACACACACTCTCTCTCTCACAACACTCTCTCTCACACACACACACTGTTTCTAACACACACTCTGTCTCACAACACATTCTCTCACACACACACACACTGTTTCTAACACACACACTCTCTCTCACAACACTCTGTCTCACACACACACTGTTTCTAACACACACTCTGTCTCACAACACATTCTCTCTCACACACACACACACTGTTTCTAACACACACACTCTTTCACAACACATTCTCTCACACACACACACATACACACACACACACACACACACGCCTCCTCAGCAGAGTGGAACTCTTGGACTTCTCTGCCTCCTGGTGAGTTTCTTTTAGCCCCCACATTCATCTGTGCCTTACACACAGTAGGTGCTCCATAAATGTTTGCCTATTGGTAACATCCACAGATTGGTCCCCAGAGAGGGAAACAGATTTATTTTGGGAAATTCCAAGTATGTAAAGCAAAGTCATTTGGAGCAAACAGTATTCTGATAGCTTGAACCACCATAAGGTTGAAAGAATCTGGGTATTTGTGGGTGTGTCTGGACATATTGTGTGTGGGAGTGTGAGTGGGTGGTCTGGTTGGGTGGGTAATAAGTGACAGGAGGGCCCTTGAAAATATAAAGGGCTCCATAACTACTGTAAAAATAAAACTGGGAATAGCATGCCCAGACCTCCAGTCATGCGGTGACCAAACCTGACCTTGGCAGAGATGAATACATTTTGGAGATGGATTCAAAAATTATTAGTCAATGTTTTTGGTCCCCATGTGCTTTTTTTTTTCTTTTTTAAAGAGCAGCTGGGCGGGTTTTTGGCAAGGCAAATGACTGCCACAGCCTGTAGAGTTCCAGAGCCCTTCCAAGCTTTTTCTAGACTCTTTTGTATTAATGCTTTTTTATTTCTGGTTCATTGTTTTCCTAATGGGATATGTCTTCTGCCTCCCCCCTTGGACAAAGGATATGATTTCTCACTGTCTCTGCTCTTAATTTCTTCCTTTATGGAAATTTTGTCTTGAGGACATAATTATGATCAGAAATACATTAGAAGTGTATTGTTTTTCCTAATTGTGTCATCCCATTCCTGATATCAGCATCTCTTAAACATCACTGGCTAGTAAAGAGATGGAAGTTAGTAAAACAAGCCACGTCATGGATGGACGATCCTTCTCCCAATTCCTCTGGCCTGGAGAAACAAAAGAAGATCCAAGGCAGAAGACAGTTAAAACCCTGTTCACATCAGGCTTCTAAATAGGTTGCAGTATATGATTTTCTGCAGCTGTCCCAGTGCATAAACATGCTCATTGGAATGTTTGTTGTAATGGTGAAGGGAGGCAGGACAAAAGGAAGTATTGATGGAATGTGGAGGGAAATCCTATACTATCCACAACTGTGGATACCTGACAAGTCTGAGTTGGTATATGTGTGTCTTCATACATATATCGACTAATATACCATAGCAAGCTCTGTGATATGTAATTTAGATTTTTTTTAATTAGAGAAATAGTTCACAAGGTTAGTAACACATCTTTAAACTTTGTGGTTATTTGGAGTATTAGGTGGTAAGTCTTAGAAATAAACTTTCTTAGATGCTGGAGATTACATGCTACAGGTTTAGACATTAAGGAGTGTCATAAAACTAAAATTTTCTCCAAAAGTACATTGATAAGAACCTTCATACTACATCTCTATTTCCTTTACACATCTTTTGAGGTTTACCTAACCATTCCCCAACTAATCAGCCTAATTGTTGATTTCATGCAACCACCTCCTTCCTGTAATTGCTGTGTACATTTGTGTGTATTTGTGTTGATTTTGTATATTTTATTTCTTTCTCATTAGACCATAATCTCATTGGGGATAGGAATCAGTACTTATCAGTACTTTTTTTTTTTGGCCCAGGGTCTCACTCTATTACTCTGGGCTGGAGTGCAGCATCAGGATCTCGGCTCACTGCAGCCTTGCCCTCCGGGGCTCAGGTGGGAATCAGTAATATTTATTCTGTATCCCCAAGTGCCTGGGATTATTTTGTAAATCCTATGCATAGTCAATCAATGAAGAACATATTCTACTCTCAGAGGAGCAATTTAATGCTAGGTTGGCTTGTTTTACTAACTTCCATCTCTTTTCTAGTCAGTGATGCTCAAGAAATGCTGACATCAGCGATGGGATATCACAATTAAGAAAAAAATACACTTTTAAAGTTATATAATACTCTTCCAAGTCAAGAGTAAATTGCCTATTAATTTTCCATGGCTTTGTAGGTCGCAAAATGGCATTTAAACTGTAGGTGTACATTTCTGATCATAAGCAATTATCCATCTTTTAATCAAATATAAACTATCTAGTTACTAAATATTTTGAAGTCAGTTTTTCTTGAGGTATTCTGTTTAATTCTTCTTGGAGCATTCTACTGGACCCCCCACTGTCATCATCTCCTAAATTTTAAGCTTGGTCCTATAGTCCAAAGAATCACACAGGGACAATCAACTGAATACATTTGACCTATTTCTGAACAAGGTTCTATGTCCTCCGACACCATTAACCAAAACAACTGACACTAAGTTCTAGTCCTTATAAAATGCAAAATCGCTGCCCTAGCTCATTACTTCAATCCTCTCCTCAAAATCTTTTGCTGGATTGCAGACTGATTCATGCTTCAGCTCCTTTTCTCCCACTGTAATATTTGGCTATGTGGGTCCTAGACACATTGCAAATGCATTCTACAGCTTTCCTCCTCTTCTTTCTGGAGATCCAGCATGTCTCCCTTGGTATATCACCAAACTGCTTCTGTGTGCTCTTCTGCCTGTCTGCATTAATACCACCCATCCTGAGCTTAGCTCTCTTATGAGACTCCCTTTATTCAGCTGTCTTTATGGAAAGAACTACTGAACAAATTTAGAATGAATTGCCAATTAATTGGTAATGATGTATTTTGGAAAAATGTGCTCCTCGTTCTATCTCTTGGAATATAAAATCTTCATCCCAGTGCTTCAAATTCATCCATCTATCCATTAGCCTGGGAGAAAACTTGAATTTGTTTTATAAAGAATTCAACCAGGTAGATAGGAATTAGTCAGATGCTAACATACAAGATAGATTTTGAACAAAACAATAGGCTTGAGAGGCAGCCAGGCATTGTTGAGAAAGTTTGTTCCAAATAACTTCTTTGCTCCTTTGCCATATGAACAACTTAGCTTGAAGTGCTCGTTCTCTGAGAACACCCCTCTAGCCTAGAGAAGATGACTCTTCTGCTACAACCCCCAGGTGAGCTCCATGGCAGCAGAAGGGTAGTAAAAGAAAAGCCCGCCCCTCTTTTGGCTCTAGGGATTGTGAATAAAGGGAGTGGGAGAGTACATCAGTGAAGCAATCGAACATCTCTCTCCCCATTTACTATAAGGTAAATAGTAAGCTCCAAGAAGCAGGTTAGGACTTGGGAGGTGGCCACCTTACAGGCTGCCTTAAACTAAGCTGGGTCATAGTCAAACCAACCAGAGAATGTAGTGAGCTCAGGCAGAAGAAACTCTGAGGTCATCCTTTCCTGAGGCATGCTTGGTTCCCTTGTGCACAGACAAATTCCAGAAAGAACTGGAAATCTGGTTAGGAAACTTGGCAAAGCGGGTGTCACTGTATTGGGGAGGGTGAAACGGTTCTGTAGCAGAAGTTGCAAGGCAGACCCCTCGAACTAGGGCCCAGTGATAGTCACAGCCAAACCTCATAAGGGTCTCTAACACCAATAAGAGTTGAGGTGAGGCAGAGTCAGCCAAGGGTCACTGCTGAGCCCGCCAAGCCCAAGCTAAGACCTACTAGATGGAAAGTTAAACTGACCACAGACCTCAGCTGTTGGATGCCAGTGAGGCAAGGAGCACCTGTGTTGACAAGGATGGTACCCCAGAGACAGAGGGAGGGGACGTTGCTCCTGAGACCCTGACTCTTCCTTTATGGACTTTGAGGTCCCACCAGTCATATTCCTCTTCCTCATTCATTCGTGTATCCCTGCCTTTAACCTAGGGCTGGAAGCCTTTCAAAGAAATTAGAATTTTTTTTTTTTTTTTTTTTTTTAACAAAAATGATGTTAAATACTTCTTAAAATAGACTGTTTATGTTATGGATCAAATGGAATTCCTAAGTTTAACTACATTTTTGGTAATTTTTGTCTCACCTACCTTTTGAGAAACCAGATGGTTTACTGATAAAATACTAAACCTTATATTTTTTGGTCTTTTCATTTGCTCTTCTCATTTAGTGGCTCACACCACATGATGACTAGCTGTAGCTGAATAGTTAGCCTTTCCTAGGATATGAATATTTTAATAGGTCATTCTGAGGGGTCCAACTTTGTATACTGAAGGACTTAATTTTAAGGTTTAGAAAAGTTGTTGGCAAACTATAGCCCACAGGCGAAATCCAGCCTACCGTCTGTTTTTGT